TATTTTGTCATACTCATTTTTTTGGCATTTGTCATCCTCTGAGCTTTCTCCTAGCTGCTCTAATGTGTTTCCTTTCCTGACAAATAATAAGTTTCACTTCCCTTTGCCAGTTCACTCAGCCCTCTGGACAAAGAGACTGAATAAGTGAAGTTGTGTTTTGTTAAGTGTTAAAATTACTGTACATTTCCGACATTCTACTAAATTGAAGAAACAATTGGATTTTTCAAAATAGATACAATCAATACAGATGAACCATTGTTGCTATGGAACATGGAAGCTGCAGTGCCTCTCATTTTTGAAAAGAATTTACATGTTGTCTGTAAATCAAACCCTACAAATGTGGCATCACTGCAAAAGCACAACATGTCTCTTGATAGGACATTAGGACTCATATATATTGCATAAACTATGCTTGAGGTCTCAGACTCATATCCTACACAGAGAACAAGAATGAATTCCTGGATCTTAGAAGGATATACAATCACACAAAGTATGTTTACTACACATTAGGATGATGTTTGTGGTTGCTCTAACCCAATAATTTGATGTGACCCAGATAATAATTAAAGAAAAATTAAAGAAATGACTCCCTAAGTCTCTTCTATTTTATTACCTGTACCAGAACAAAGACAGGTCAAAGCATCAGGTAAAAAATGGTGATACTGACTCGGACCTGAAAAATCTTGTCTAGTGTGAGAGCCCACAAAGCCACAGGTTCTTTCTATTTCTACTGAATTGTACATGAGTCCTCTGTCTCATTTGGTCTGTATTTTCAGGTTTGAAAATGTTTAAATTAATAAACAAATGAATAAGTAAATAAACAGGTTTGTGAACCTAAATGTAAACAGCCTGTGCTGCTTGGCTTGAATGCGTGATAAGAAGGCAACTGGACTTGTTTAGGTATGTGAAGATGTTTTGACCCACTAATCATGTGAGGCTTCACATAAGCCACAGAGTGCATAGACTAGTGTACAGTGAATAGTCCTCTGACTTTTACGTAGGAAAAAACAGAAAACCATTGCAAAACACATGGCAAAGCATAGGAGAGCCACGGCAACAGGACAAGACTCAGCTGTGCATTTGTACTCTTTCAGAAATGCCAGTGGTCACATTGTGGACCAAAATGATGGAAGACAGAGATAAGTAAAGGAGGCCATGCACCTCTACTCCGCCATTGCTGAACAGATGTGGTGGCTAACAACACCAGGTACCAGCCACATGCAATGCAGGCTTGAGAGTCCTTCCAAGAGATTTCAACCCCTACTCACGCCTTAACAGCTCATGTGGTGGTGGGGTGGGGCAATGTCTTATAGTGTGTTCCAGTTCAAGTCAGAATTTCTAACTGGAAACTCAGATTTCCAACTTGGAAAATCTGACCAGCTCCACCAACCCCAACTTCACAATCCAAAATGGCAGC